TCTCTAAGTGCAACTCACGTGATTTACATAATGTTATTTGATGTTCAACACAATGTAACTGTAGCACAAATTTGTTTCACGTACAATATTAATATCAAGTCAAACATCACTATTCGCGCACATTATTTGCTATAGATCGAGTTTTACATGCGTGTGAAGATTGCCATTTTCTTTTTCAGCGTTTGACTTTTATCACTGTTTACAATAGCTTTGAAACAGCAGACGGATTTTAATTAATTATTACTATTATAGATCCAGTTGTGCAAAGTTTCAGTGTTTGAGTTAGAAACTGTTTGTTTCATTTTACAAACTAGCAGAAGAGCTTTAATTCTTTAACGTAGATATTGTTGAAAAGTATAAAAGTGATGAAGTTCGAAGAGGAAGAGAGGAAATAAACCGAAAATGTCTCGCAATCAATCTAATAAAACTACATTATCTGATAAACAAAAACTTAAACTTTGTCAATAGTCTTCCTGATAATAACGATGAGGATTCCTGCGGAGATGAAGCTCAGGAATTAAATAACGAATTACTTACTGAATTGTCTGAATCCATCGTGAGGTTGAATTTTCCTGAGGCAATAACAACAAACGAGTATTTGTCTTTTCCAGAAGAAGATATCGTTTTTGAGCTTTCTGAAAGTGACAATATTATTTCTTTGTTTAGTGGAGAACATGATGAAGAGACTGATGATGATAGCAATAAAACCCCAATAGTGAGTACTAATAAGGCTTTAAAAGTTTAGAAAACATAAAGACGTTTCTGATTCAACAAGAGGGAACTAATAGTTATTAAAAGCCGTTAATAGTTTGGAGAAATTCATTTGCGAAAAACAGGTAACTTTAATGAAACAAAGTAGTATTACACAATTCTTAGTTAACAATTATAATTAGGGATATTGATATCCAAATTTTGTATGTAACTTTGGCTGAAAATTATAATAAAGGAAAATCTGTTTAATAGACGTAAATCGTTAAAATATCTTTCCTAATAAGGAAACACCCCCCCCATAAATGCAAATCCCCCATAAATGCAACGCAGCCCTCAGTCCCGAGGCGTTGCATTTATGGAGGTGTTACTGTATTAGTATTTTTAAGATTCCACAACAAACAAAAAATCAATTTAAAAAACCGCCCACATATTCAGGGAAGTATTTATATTATTTAAACTTAAAATCTACATTTATTAGCATCAAAAATCCTAATAATTTTTTTTTTCCCTTTTCTATTTATCAAATTGCGAGTTCACAGAATCTTGTAACATAGAAATAAAGGATTGTGTCCTGTCAACATCACCCATCTCTTCAACAGACCAATATCCTTTCAGTTAATTCGGCCACAGCAAGTCTTCGATTTTCGGCGCGTTCTTGTTGTTCTATTTGCACGTATTCTATAAAAGATTCCCAACTTTCATATACATCAAACCCACTTTCTTCAAACAGCGAAACATTTGCCATACATCAGTGGTCAATAATTTATTGCCGTACATATGTTCATGAAAAATGTGTTTGCATGGTAGTAAATATCAATGATAAGACAATCAAGAGAAGTTACATCTTTTCCTTTTTCAAATCTATCCATCACAACACAGGCCTCTTTGATAATTAGATGTTGAAAGGGAAAAGGAAACTCACGGATTTCTTTGAGAATATCATCATCAATGCCATATGCAGATACTTTCTTGATATGAAAGTCAAAGGAAGCGCTTTTGGCTTCAGATTTTTTTGCAGTCAATATTGACAATTCCATGAACAGCACCTAAAGTAAATAAATAAAAAAAGGGATCCAAAAAAAGATTTAGGTTGGGTAAGCGGGTAAGAAAATCATCACGTACCAATCAAACCGTGTAATGACGATGTTATTTTCTTTAATTCGCTATGAAAAGATTCTAGCGGATTCATAGACACGACTTGTAAAAAGAGGGGAGAATGTTAACGCGATAATTTTCAACAAAATACCCATGTTCCGTTAAATAAAAAACAGATTCCAAAATATCTAATTTTAAAATCGAATTTCCAATAAGATGGGTTTCCATTATATATTAATTGTACTCGAGTAACTCTGTCGGCTAAAATGGGATTAATTCTTAGTCTACCGTTTGGGGTACAATAGTGTTTTAATTATAATAATGCGCATCTACATAATAATTAATTATCGTAATTTACCACTCGAATAATCGCGGGACAAGAGCGATTATTCTTCACCGATATAGGGATTAGCGGTTTCTCAGCTAGTTACCAGGGAATAAATCATTAACAATGTATTTCAGAGTATAAGAAACTACTCAATAAAGGAATCGAAAACATTCTAAACATGCACTTCTTGACTGACACTCTATCTAACTGAAATCTACGCTACTTATATATATCTTTCGAGCGGACTAATTGATCTATTTTTAGCAGCTATTACTAATTATCTAACTGTTATTTTCAGTATACCGCGATGCTGCATCGCTGCTTGTATCACTGCTGTATCGCTGCTTTGACGATGCTTGTACCATGCGCTGGTGTTACTGCATCGTCGGAGTAATACAGGCTCTCAGCCTATTTCTATATAATGTTTTAGCCTTTTTCACCAATTCTGAAAGGCTTTATAGTAACCCTCTTTTGGTATGTTATGAGACACTACCTGTACAGCTTGTGAAAGACTTCCAACGTTCTAAAACTTCTTTTTGCTCTGTTTCTTTTTATTTTAAAAAGTAGGAAAAAAATTACGAGAAACTAGATCTGGATTGTAATAAAGATGGGGCATTGATTAGACTCTTTCTCTCCTTAAGCAACTTCTGCTTTATGAGTGTGGTGTATTGTCATGATGAATGAAATGCATCTCGAAACTTTATTGAGATCGAGTTGACTATGTAATATGTACTCAGTTCTTTCTAATACACTCCTCTATCATTCTTACAGTTATGGGAAATTATTATTTATCGGGTTCTCCACCTTTGCAATGTTTTTGCAGGCAACAGTTTCGCGAGAATGCCGCGAGCAGAGTGTCATCTTCAATGTTCTCATCTCCGTCTTCAAACAGTGCATTGGGTCCTTCAACAACTCTCAACTCTTGGTAAAAAATTTTTTTGTAGTTTGACCGTTTTTCTAGCCAAACAGAGATGCAATAATGTTGGCGTTCTCACGTAGTATTTTCCAATAGTTTTAGGGTAAAGATTTTTAAAGCAATTTTTCAACAATGGTCAAATCAAATTGTGTCAAGTTTTTTTATGCAAGATCAACTGAAACCTGAACTTTAATTACATTATTAACTTATTTGAGTGGTTGCACAAATAATCAAGATAAATACAGTGTGTTAAAAAAACCCCCCGGAAAATTGTATACGTCACTAAACCGCGTCTAGCATGCTCAATTTGGAACCAATTTGCGATAAGTTTAATTCAAAATAAACACAAAGATCTAGGGATCAATTTAAACTCTCTTTTTTTATTGCATCCATAACATTATTACACAATGTCTGCTACCAAGAAAGAATTACAACGTAAAATTTTATTATATTTGTGGAACGAGGGAGTGCGAGCTACATGCACATACAAGCATACCACTCTCAACAACATATGACAATATAAATAAACTGAAAAAGACAATGACCCCAAGCATAGTAGTCATCTTACTAAAGCCTTTTTTGATGAGAAGTCATGGACTGGCCATCCAATAATCCTGACTTAAACCCTATCGAAAACTTATGGGCCATTGTGAAAGGTAATGGATGCCTCAAAATATCAGCGAACTGGATCAATTTACAGTGGAGGAGTGGAGGAATATTCCAGATACTGTTGTGATAAATCTCGTGGGCTCAATGAGACGTCGTTGTAACTTATTGTAGAAAATCATGGAGAGAGAATCTCTTATTAATTGCTGTTAATAAGATCTGTTGGTTTTCAGCTTTTAAATAAGATATAAATCATGTAATTTGGTCCATTCATTGTGATACAATAAATGAAAAACTTATTCCAGTTTTTTTTTTAACACACTGTATATATCGTAGAAAAATTTTAAAGCGTTGTTCGATTAAAGTCAATAAATATGTGCTGTTTTTACACAAGGCTGGTTGCAGGCGCTTTGCGTGCCCAACAAACACCCAATGATCTGTGTCCAGAAATCTGCCGGCCACTCACTGGATGATGACTTTCCAAATATGGTTTCCGATAGAATACAGTCTACCGCAGACGCGTCTTTCTCTCTTGCAGAGCTATCGATAAATTTCAAGAGATAAATCCTACTGTACCTTACGTTTCTTGGTCGAGTAAATACGGGTTTTTAGATATAAAAGAAAAAATATATATTTACCAGAATTAGTCTATTACTAGATTTTTTATTTGAATAAGTAGCCCTGATCAGGCCGAAATTTGCTGACGCGATGTTCGATTTTATAATAGACGATTCGTCTATGCTAAAGTTCGAGATCTTATTAGTCGCTCTACGTGTACCGATGAGATGTTTGTAGCAATACTAAAACCAAAGATTCAATAAGTACAACTTTATAAAAACAGAGATTTCATCTAAACTTGTTCTTCTATTTGTACTATCTGTTGCAGGCATTATTGCCAAATAGGAAAAAGAAAAAAGCTCTCGAGCGGGGAATTGAACCCCGGTCTCCCGCGTGACAGGCGGGGATACTAACCACTATACTACTCGAGATTACCATTTAGTGTTCTTTTAGGAGGACAGTATTTATAGGAATCTTCAGTATGTTGAAAGGGTGTATTGTACCACACTAGTCATAGTAGTTCAACCCAAAGACATTAATTACTTATTGCAGCAAGTAATCTTCCATATGGGGAAACGTCGGTTCCAGTCTCGTAATACATGCAAGTCCACAGAATGTGTGAGAGAGAAACTCAACTTCAACGTTTGATCAGCGTTAGACGAGACTATCTCGTCTTCTACATTCTGCCGAATTATTAAAGCCGTGAACATTTTAGTGGCTGTATTTACTCTTATAATATAGACGAACCACTCACCATAGTGTTATTTAACATACTTATTAATATATATGGCTAAAAAGAATCGAAAAAACGATGCAAATAGCGCCAGGTCTGTTCAAACGAACGGAGTAAGAAATGCAGAAGAGGCTACCGCTACCCTCGATAGTAATGAAGACATTTCAATAGAAACTAGCAGCACAGTAGAGCCTCAGACAATGATGAATACTATCAACACTAGTAATGAAGCACAAAATACTACCGCACAAGGTCAGAATGTGTCTCAGGATTATGCAAATGAGCAGCTCGTTGTCAATCAAGAGGCCCTTGTCCAAGCTTTACTACACCTTCGCTCAGAACTAGCAAAGGTCCAGAATGAAAAGAACGAATTAGAGAGCGAACATACCTCGCTGTTAGAGCAATTAAAGTCAAGCAAGCAAAGCAACGGAACAGCTGACCAAAACGCATTATTAGATGAATTACAAAGTCGATTGGAGGAAACCAACAACGAGAAACAAGCGTTGATGAAGGAATGTGATAATTTAGCAACTGAATTACAAAATACGAGAGATGATAAACAGCGATTAGAGACAGAACATGAAGGAATTATAGCCAAAGTCAAAGTTTTTGCGGATAAAGTCAAATCCGATATGGTGAGTTGACTCCGTAACATGTAATTATTCTTCTATATGCTAATCTTTATTTTGTAATTTGTGCCGTTGTAATAGGAAGAGCTTGAGAAAGCACGTGAACAAGTTATAGACCTTGCCCAGCAGAAACAGCAGCTTATGAAGTTAGTTTCAGAATTGAATGTTGAACTCGAAGATGTAAAAGGACAATGTCAAATTTTGACGCGAGAATTAGAGATGTCGCGTTCCCATTCTATGAAAATTGATCAACAGGCAGCACAAGAACTCATACAAAAGGATGGCCTAATACAGAAGTTGGAGGATGATTTGGAAAATGTTATTAGAGAGAAAGGAGAATGGGAAATGGTAGCCATGCAATTGAGGGGATCTAAGGATGATATGATTACGTGTATTAAACAATTGGAAAGAGAAATTGAAGTATTGCAGAGCGAGAAAGAAGCTATTAAATTGGAGAAAGATGCCGAATCTGAGAGCTTGAATAACTTACAAGGCGTTCTTGAAGAGTTCCAAGCAGGTACTAAAAGGTCTAATACAATATGTACTAATTATAAGTTGTTATGCTGAACGTATTATTTTTATATAGCAAAGGAATCCGAAATAAGAGAGATTGTCGAGGGCATTGAGCGAAAACTCAGTATTACTACTACAGAATTGTCCGAGTACAAAGAGAGAGCGATTCGAGCCGAGGTTTGTCGCACAATTTTAATCGGTTTCTTTGAGCAATGAAATTTTATTGTTTAGGGGTTATTATTCCATTAATGAGTGTTACGATAACGACGTCGCACATTTTATCTCAGAGTGAATTGTCACAGGTAAAGGATGAAATCAATAGAGTTCAGCAGTATGAAAAAGATATAAAGGAGAAGAATCTACTAATTGGCAAACTGCGGCACGAAGGTAAGTTAGTGTTACGACCGCCATCCAATGTGTGGTTACATCTTCACCCATTCTCTGTTATAACAATATATTAGCGGTAATACTTAACGAGCATTTAACGGAGGCATTACGACGCATGCGAGAAGAATCTAGTGAGAATAATGTAGACAGGTCAATTACTCTTTTTACTGGATCAACGTCTAACTAGTGATTTTTTCTACCGTCATTGCTGACTTTTTTTCTTCTTTACTTAGACGGCTGATAACGAATCTCTTGATTGCCTTTTTTAACACTCCACGTGGTGATAGTAAACGATTTGAGATTCTACAATTAATGGGCAGTGTACTGCACTGGACAGATGAACAGAAAGAACAAGTCGGGCTAATTCGAAAAGCTCCATCCACACCGCGATCCTCTGATGAGAGAACAAGCAGATGGGGTTCTGGGTTATGGACGCCGACAACAGAACGGCCGCGTAGCCGGCTGTCTGAAGACATCCCGAGGACTAGAGCTATATCGGCAGAAATACCAAGGACTGATGAAGGATCGAAAGAGGTTACTATTTCTAACTATTATCATGTATTTCGTGGTTAACGAATCGTGATGATTACTACAATCTGATGTTTCCTATATTTTTACAGTCGTTTTCGGATATGTGGATATCATTTTTATTGAACGAGGCAACTAAGGATAATGACCATGGTCGGAAATCAGAGTCTGCTAATACTGAAAATAAGGCGACATAACTTTCGTCACATTTTAAAAGTTATTTTTAAATTCAGCAAAACACGACTCAAGATTATACCAACTTGAATGTAAAATATTGCAATTGTTGCCAAGAGAGCCTTGATATAAAGCGGTAATAGAATAGCCAATAAAATTCCGAAAATTATACACAATATAATAACAAAAACATAAAAATAATAACGGTTACCCCTCCATAACATAACTATAACCAAAGCTATTTCAAATAGAATTTAGAGCAATCAAAAATAATTTCGTCATCTTTATATATTAATATGGTTGTTTTAAGAACAGTTAAACAAACGAGGACGCTACGAAATAAATAGCCTGTAGCGGTAGTTCAATTTCCTAAAAGAAGCGACGAATTCGCTAAAAAGGATTCAGTGAAAATTTAATATCTTTTTTAACTAACTAAACATATCGATTTTCTTTGTCAGATTTTTCTTATCGATGATTCCTTGATATTAATATAAGCAAATTTACTTGGATTATCACCAAGACCGTTGAAAGTGACTTGCCGTCCGCTCATTTCTCCGAATACCTCTTGTTGTTCAGCATCAAGAACGAGACCAGCAGGGAGAACACGTCTAGGAGACATTTAGTTGAGGAAATGATGAAAGTGAAGTTCAAGTATTAAATATACAAAGAGAAGTTTTTGGGCAGAGCACTATCCCAGGGAGAAATTTATAGAAAAAGATTGACAGTCAAATAACAATTACAATTATCGTTAATATTAGAGTGGGAGAGGATAAATTAATCGCTCAACTAGGCGACGGACGGTTCGCTTATTGTTTTTACAAAAAAAATAAGATTTTTTTGAAAAAGGGGAGCATAAAGAGTTATTTCGTCGCCGCGAGACAAAAGCGGATTACCTTAGAAGTTTAATTCTATTTATAACTGCAATCTGCTATTTTGATATCTCGCGCAATCGGTATGTGATTATACATTTTAAATATATGTAAACGTTTCAACACAGTCGACATTATCAATGATTTTCGATCAGAGGAATCACTTTACAATAGCTCTTTCTGGCTTCAATTATAATCTATTTAAAATTAGCTGTAGACCAGCAAACAATCTATATTGCAAGTCCGATTATTGAACTTGGTTAAAATAGTTTCACTTTGAGTCGACAGTGTAAGTAATCCAAATATGATCGTCTCTAACAGTCGGAAGAACTTCTCAAAGAGCTAATTCTCAAGAACACACTCACCCATTAGCTGCACGACAAATATAATATTGCCTTATCGGGATCATGTCATAGCGCTAGCGCTGAATGTGATATGAATCAATTACGCCCAACGGGGATGACCGGAATCTGGTTAATAATATTATGGGGTAAATGGCGACTTTTTAAGTTTTTTTCGGGTGCAATACGTTACGTTTTC